GTGGTGGCGGCGCAAAGCGGATGGACTTTGGCTGCGTGAAGCCGGAAAGTGCCCCTGGAAAGGCCGGCAGTTTCATGGTTTCCAGTGGTGCCAGGTAGACACACTCATGTACAGTATCTAGCCCGGTGCTGGCGCGCGAACGCGTGAACCCGTGAACACGTGAACCCGCGAACCCGTGAACGCGTGAACCCGTGAACGCGTGAACCCGCGAAGCCGTGAACGCGTGAACACGTGAACCCGCGAACCCGTGAACTCGTGAACCCGTGAACCCGCGAACCTGTGAACCCGTGAACGCGTGAACCCGCGAAGCCGTGAACGCGTGAGCCCGTGAACACGTGAACCCGCGAACCCGTGAACTCGCGAACCCGTGAACCCGCGAACCCGTGAACGCGTGAACCCGTGAACGCGTGAACCCGCGAAGCCGTGAACGCGTGAGCCCGTGAACACGTGAACCCGCGAACCCGTGAACTCGCGAACCCGTGAACCCGCGAACCCGTGAACGCGTGAACCCGTGAACGCGTGAACCCGCGAAGCCGTGAACGCGTGAGCCCGTGAACACGTGAACCCGCGAACCCGTGAACTCGTGAACCCGTGAACCCGCGAACCTGTGAACCCGTGAACGCGTGAACCCGCGAAGCCGGGAACGCGTGAGCCCGTGAACCCGTGAACCCGCGAACCCGTGAACTCGTGAACCCGTGAACCCGCGAACCCGTGAACGCGTGAACCCGTGAACGCGTGAACCCGCGAAGCCGTGAACGCAAGAACCCGTGAACACGTGAACCCGCGAACCCGTGAACGCGTGAACCCGTGAACGCGGACGCGTGAACCCGTGAACCCGTGAACCCGTGAACGCCGCGTGAACCCGCGAACCCGTGAACGCGTGAACGCGTGAGCCCGTGAACCCGTGAACCCGCGAACGCGCGGACCAGGCTACATAGCGTTCATAAGTCGGTAGACAGCCAGATTAGATGGAAGTGCAGCATGCGCGCCACGGTTTCGCCAGGAGTGCCCTTAAGTAGGTTCATCAGGCAGCCCAGCCTGTTCTTTGAAGCCCGCAGCATCGCAGCGAGGTGGCGGATCTTTGTGGGGCGAGTTGGAAGTTCCTAGCGAAGCGGCGGATAATCGCTGGCTCAGCTCCGACGGAGAGTCCGGCAGGATTACGATCACTGTGGAGCTGGAGAGAGATGGTGTCGCCGAGTATGAGCTCAACGCTTTCGAAGAGAAAAGCCCTCAAGACGTGGCTGATCGATTCGCGGAGTTGGGGCGTCGATGCTCAAAGGCGAAACCGCGCAGAACCATCGACTGTGGCCCCTTCCGAGAAGGCACCCCGCATACACTCTCCAACAAGATCGGAGAAAAAGCCTGCCAGCATCCCGAGGCACAGGAGACTAAACTTCAGTGTCAGATAGCAGAAACTGGCAGTCGACCAGGCTTCGGGCCGTTATGAACGCTTTGGGGTGAGAAGGTCCCAATCATTGAGGCAAAATTTGAGAGTCAGCCTGCATGACATCAGCTAGCGGCTAACATGAAGCGAACAGCGAAGGTCAAGGACAAGTTTTTACGGCTTCCATCCTCTCCTTCCGGGTACCTGTCTGAGTTTTTTTCCTATTCTCTACCTTGTTCCTGCCTGGTCACACCTGCTGACCTTTCTGGACTCCCAGTTTCTTCTCGGTTTTACTTGTTTTTGTATTTGAAGCCTTTCACTCGCGGGAGGGGTATATAATTGGGGCCTCTCCATCGGAACGGCCCTTCTAAGTTTGTCGAGCCTGAACCTCAGGCAAAGGATGCTCGGGCGCTCTTCTGCCGCTACCCCCCGCGCTTCTACGGCCATGCCGGGATTTGCAATCAATACTCGCAATTCTGCCCGTTTGAAGAACTTCGCATGGAGACCGACCCTTATCTTATTGACACGGCTGTCATTAATGTGGATGCTGAGATGTTCCACTCAATGGAGGACATGTGGACGGAATCCGTCAGACATGTGATGCTGAACTGAAGTCTTGACGCGTAGCTTTCCTCGAAAGACTGTCATAGCTATGGGCAGGGAGGGTACTGTAACAACACGCAATCCCTCAAGAGACAGGAGTGTGGCGTCTTCGAAAGGGAGCTTTGGATTTTCAAGGTGTTCGTGCACTGGTGCCCGCATTGCCAGCAGCTGATGCCGCTCTTGTACCGGCTGGCACTGGTTCTCCGACAGCGTGGGATCAAGGGCTTAAGATTTGGTGCTGTGAATTGTGCTACCGAGCATGAACTATGCGCTGCCCAGAACTGGCCGGGACACCCCTTGCTGATTGCCCGGTACTTGGGACCAGACCGGGCAGTGCACGATGCTATCGAGCATTGGGTCGATGTAGTAAAGGATGCCCAGCTGCGGCAGATGCTTCCGCGCTACGCACTCCCGGGAGAGTTTCCGGTTCTTAAGATTCTGCTGGAGCAACTGCCATCATCAATGCTGCCCAAGTCGTCATGGTCCTTCTTGTTCGATGCAGATGCGGAGCATGCGCAATCGTCTGGTTGTGCTAACTTGACAGCGCTGCATCTGGATCATCCGGAGGACTCCGTGGGTGAGAGTTGGGGGTGCGGGGTTGATCATGCTTCCGAAGCGGTTTTCAATCTTCATTTGTCAAGAATTGCAGTCCGGGCTGTGCCTCTGAGGGAGCTGATGATCGAGTTGGCAACGGCTGGCACGATGCCGAGCGCAACTTCACCACCAGACAGCGATGGACTGACGCCATGCTCATGCTGAGGCATGTCCTCCAGGAATGGATCGCACCACTTGGAGATGACGGCAACGCCGATGCCTTTTCTCATTGGCAGTTGTTGATCATGGAATCCTGGGTGGAGCTGCTAGCCAGGAATCTTCCGGATGCTTTTGGCTTGGCCGAGCCCTTGCAGGAACTGCAGGGTGCCTTGCTGCAAAGGGTTCGTGCCTCGCAAACACCGGAAGGCAGCTCGCTCTGTGCGGACGAGTGGAAGTTGTTGACGGCACCGGTGCTGACTCGAATAGCCGAAGTTGGCCAGAGAGACTTCGTCGTGGCTTCTGCTTGCGCTTCTGACACCTGCAGAATGTGGAGTTTGCTCCACACGCTTGCATCAGAAGGCTTCAGACGGGAACAAGCGGAGCTGTCTTCAAAGAACGAATTGATTCTGTCGCCCTCTTCTCCAGACGTGATCCTCAGTTAAATTTGCTTCATGGTGCCACATCTCTGTCTGTACTCCTAAACTCAAAACAAGTGAAGTTTTGGGGCGGTCTACATGATAGCCGTGTCAGCCAGGAGAATAGTCGATTGGAAGCAGCATGATTGCCTTTGTCGTTTGATTCACCACTGCAGCTTCCAAGGATGATGCAGACTGTGCACGACTTCCTTGAACAGTTCTTCAAGTGCCACTACTGCCGGCGGCACTTCCTGAAAAACTTCGAAGCCGGATCATTTGGCCGTGATCTTGCCAAGACTTCCCGCCAGCAGGCTGCGCACTGCATATTCGTAGTTTCGATAGGGGCAATGTTTCTGTCTCGGTCTTGTTCCCTGGTAAGTACCGCGAGGCTTTGTAATGCGGAGATTTGGATGTGATCCGTATTTGCACTGCCTGTTTTTGCTGCTGCAGGTCGTTTTGTACTTCTGGCGTTTTCACAATGCTGTTTCCGTCCGGGTGACTGCCTGGCATGGTTGCAACACCACGGACCGGCGTTGGCCGCCGTCATCGGTGTGCTCAAGGCGGCGGTGGGGTTTCCCTGTGAACAAATCCACAACAGATTGTGCAGGTACAAGCGGGCCGGCTGCCGAAGGTTATTATATCCGCGGAAGTTGAGTTGTGATTGTTGTGCTCTAACATGTGCCACTAGAATCACTAGAACATACAGGCAAGGATTGGTGGCATGGAATGCTTTGCACGTCTGGCCTTCTGTAATGTGCAGGTGTTGGGAACAGAGTACAGACGACTGGCCGGTACTGTGCGCTTGGCAGATCTTATGCCCTCTTTCGGTGTTGGTCGAGGTCGTTTCCTTGATTGACCGACTTCTGGATCATGATTCACCATTGTTCGACTACTCTTTTTTGTGACCATGGGGTATAGCAAGCTTTTGATTGGGGATCCGTTAGAGGTATCTACCGCAAAGCCCGATTCGGATATTCTGTCTAGTGCGCAAGGGATTTCGTTGCAGGCACCCTCTTCTGCTGGTTCGGATATGCTATGATCTTATTACCAGGACCTTCTGACCACTGCCCGGGGCAGTTGGGGAAGGCTCTCAGGTGTAGTGCCCAGGGTTTGTGGTGCGTGTCGTGTGGGCCTTTTGACAGAACGACGTTTAGGCCTGCGAGCATGAATCTGAAACAGGTGCTTTTCTGCACTTCGAAGAAGCACTTCATACCAAGGTCTGAAGCGAAGGATGTGGTCCGGGGTGGCGAATCACGAGCGCTCGACCTGAAAGCATCACCGAATGAAGCGGAGATTCTAAAGTTTCTGCAGTCGGCCTTCGCGGAACCCGACGACCTCTCATGAGAGAGCAAACTGCTGCCTGTCTTGCTGGGGATGTATGTCGCCAGGATGAGTTTGAGGTTTCCCATGCAGTGATGTTGTGGCGATGGACCCCATGCAGTGCCACTTCGTGTGCCCGGCCGCGGAGAAAGTCTCGTCTCAATTGCAATTGCCTCATGTTAAGCCTCTAGTTCCGGCAGGAATTATTGTGGTCTTGTTGTGTTACGGTATGGTACTATTAATAGTATTGCGGTTTCAATCTTGCACTCCGGCACTCTGCTTCCAACTCTGGCATTTCGGCTTTGAAAGGCGGCCACGCAGTCCTGCAGACCCGCGTGCGGGCTGTGCCTTAGGGTTGCAGAGTGCGCGTGCATCGGGTGGATTCAAATCTCAGGAGTTTTGTGATATAGCCATGAAGCCTCTCACCTTACCATCGTGGCTCCGGGGCTGTTTAGAGTTTAGAGCCCGCGAACAACATCGTCTGCTTTTGGAAGCTATCTTTGAGCGTGCCTGGGAGTCGCTGGATGCCGTGGGTGCCGCGCATCGCTCCAAAAGAGGGGGTCGATGCAGAAGAGGCCTCGAAACAAAAGGCCTGCTAGCTCGGTCCTGCATGACTAGAGCTTGCTACCATGCTGTCCTGACCTGAGCACCGATTACCCTGCAGGATGCCCTGAAGGGGGCGAACTCAGCCGCTTCACGTGGCTCGGATGTGCTCAGATTAATTGCGTTGACAAACCGTGATGCCTTGAAGACTTACGGCGTTGCATCCATGCGCATGCTATGGTCGCCAATCAATCAAGGACATGATTCTACAGCCGAAAGAAGCTCGCTCGCAGTCCGGGTTCGACGACGACAGTAGCCGGATATGATATGATGTACTGTGCCCACCCTTAACAATACAGAGATACGGCAGTGGGTCAATCCAGGCAGCAGTTCCGAGACCATGTCGCCTTCTCCCTGTCTTTACCGTTCATGATTCCTGTTCGGCAAGGCGCTGCAAGGGACAAGGCTTTGTCCTGCCTTGTGACACGAGGGGCCGACCTGTGGCTAGAGCCTTGTCGGCAGATGTCGCTCTCTTCTCTAATTCCGGCATTCAAACTGCAAGCTCGGCGGTTTGCCGAGCTGCGAGAGTCGAAGTTATCAGCCTGAAGGCTCCGGCCGTGTAAGCCTCTCTGAGAGTTGTTTGTGTTCTCGAAAGGTTCTTCTCAAGTGCAGGACAACAGACTATAATAGGCTTGGAACGGACCTGACCGGGTCGGCCTCAGAGTGCAATAAGGATCTGCAGTCGCGGAAATTGCCTGGAAAGAAACTGAGCAAGTTCCTTACGGACGCGCTCTATGATGAGACTTGCTATGCAAGAAGGGCAGAGCGCACGTTCTTGTGACCCGGGATTCGCGTACGGTCTTTAAGCAACGATAACTTCGGGCCGGGGAGCTCAAGCTGCAAAGGATTTTTTGCAACGTGCCCGGCTGCTAAGGAAATCCGAAAGCAGCTGCAAAATCCCAAGAAACCAGATCGCCGATGCCTCTCTGCTGAGATGCATAAGAGATAGCTCATCGCAATCTCTTCTTTGGGCATATGCTTTGCTCATCTTTGCTCAGGTATAGATTTGGTTCGGGATCATGGGATCTTGGGAGGGGGCGGGGTCGCCGAGGCTGGTACTTTAACGTTGACGTCAGTGGCACAGAGATGAACGCCGATGGCCTTCAGATCCTCGTGACCTTCCTGTGCCTTCGCATGCATGTGGGATATTGCATCTAGCGATGTACATGGGAGTTTCCAAAATAGGGGTACCCTGTTTTCAGGGTCCTTATAATAAGGATCCTACAATGTCGAGTACTATATCAGGGCCTTACGCCTTACGCTCGCCATAGATCTCACTCCAACAGAGGAGCCTCACTGCATCTCACGGCAGCGGCATCCTGCAAACAGAGCATTTGTAGGAGCAATAGCTTCGTTGGTGCTGATGATGCTTGGGACCCACCTCCGAATTTCAATGGCATCAATGTATGACATTGAACTGTAGATGGCCGGATGAAGGAAGACATCTCTGTGCCCGTAGCTTAGATGGGTAGTTGTCAATTTTAGGGTACCTTTTTGGGTCCTTACTATAGTACGGCACCTATTATTTAGGGTACCCAAATAGGGAGCCTTTAATTTTGACGAAACCCCACAGAGATGGTATCTTCTGCGCATAGCACTCGGCCTCTGAGGAAGCGCCTCTTCGAGGCGGCGCCGAGCTTCGGGGGCCTTTTTGGTTCGCTTTAGTACTTGGGGGGGTTTCCTAGGCTTTCCTGCTTTTTGTGAAAAGGGTCTCCGTATGAGGGTGGACAGGACTTCTCCTTGGCCTTAGTGACCTTCGGCATAAACAGTATGAGGGTGGACAGCAGTCTCCTCCTTGAGCGTTAGGCTGCTTGGCTTGCGGCTGTGTGTGTGTGTGTGTGTTAGCATCAATTTGGTAGGAGGCCATCCTTACAGCTGCCACTGCTTGGCAGGCAGATCCACCGGTTTGCGTTCATAGCCTGCGCTGCTACAATAATGGCGACCTCCCTGCAGTGGAGCGTTTTTGTTTTGCGTCAGCCAGACTGACGCAACAGCGCATCTCTTGGATGCTTGAACGGTTGTGGATTTTCTTGTCCACTTAGACCTGGGTGATACGGGGGCGGAGCACATTGCCGAGATGATCTTGGCCCAGCCTTTTGCTGTGTACGAGCTCCATTTGAGTGACAGCAGGCAGGTTCTGTTGCCTGTAGGAATCCGTGCATACAATGTTCACATCTTGTACACTGAACCTGACGAGTTGTGCATTTTGCTTGCTTTGGCTTTGGTTTCTACTATTAATACTATTATTACTATTATTACTATTGTTACTACGCTCTTCCTGCGACCTGACGTCTTGAGATATCCTGGCAAAGTGTGCTCGTCTCGATTGCAGGATGTCGGAGCTAGGGGCCGCAATGGTGATCTTGTCCGTCTGTGTGGCCAATGATCGGTATCCGTTTCAAGTGAAGCATCGGTGGAGCCTCGACAAAACATGAGGCCTTTCTCTCGCCGGCATCATGTTGTGTTAAGCGACCAGTCGACAGAGCAACTGTCATGTTTCCGTCCTGGATAAGGACTGGATGCTGGATGCGTGGGGATCTTAAACTGATGCTTGACCCGCTGCCCGTGTGCCAACTGCAATGTGGATTTCTTCTAAATTCTAAATGTGTGCACAGGACTCGAGAACAACTACGTCAGCGCACCGGATGCGCTGCTGACTGCCATGCGAGCTGCAGTGCCCCTGCCGAGCAATGAGTGGAGCGAGCCTGCGGTGCGGATCGAAAGCATTGCGTGCGCCTCAGTCACCACGGCTTGGGCGGCTTGCCAGTCAAGCCTGGCTGTTCACCACTGTTGCTGCTGGAGCCGTAGACAAAATGGACAATTATAAATTGTAAGTGTGCTTGACTTCAGCCCAAAGAGGCGAAAGCAAAGGACGAACCTGTGACACTCTTTGGAGATATCCAGGTGCAGCAACGGTAGTGAGCTTGCGCGCGATTGAAGTCCCAAGCGGCCCTCCCAATGATGCTTGCGAACATGTCAGACCCCGCATCGCAAGCCTTAGCGGATCTCAACGGGCCTTGCAGGCTGCAAAGGTGGCGTTTCAAGCCTTGAGACCTTGGGTTTCGAGATCCGCGAAGCTTTTCACACGCAAGGTCCGTGGAGACCGAACATGGGGGCGGGCTCACGGTCCTAGCTGGGCCACTTCGGCAGAGGCAGAGGGCTCAAAGCTGTCAGAGGCTTGGGAGATCTTGGGAGGTCAGAGGAGGGGCGAAGGATCCCCGCAACACGTAAAGATGAGATGCAGCCTAGGTGTGTAGGAATGTGTGTGTGTGTAGCAGCTGCAGATGCCAGGTGACCCCACAAGCTTTGTTGCCGCACGGCGGCAGGATGCAGGTCCTACATGGCCGTAAAGTGTAAGGATGTGTAAGACTTCGGGTGTGCGAGAGCCGAGCATCGCTTGCATCAGGGCTTGTCGACCTTTGACTTAGCAGCCATGGGTGCTGCTGCAACAGTGTTTCATCGCGTCTGCATGTTTTCCTACATGTTTGATGTGTGGATCACCCTGTCTGGTGCATTCGCAGCAGTGACGCATTGACTCTGCAACAGCCATGAAACTTAGTCAGCTGCGCTGCATTCCGACTCTGAAAGACAGCTGCTAGTACCTGGGGCCGGGTGTTAACCCGCAAATAGGCTCGGACATTAAAAAAAAGCCTCGGTTCTCGAGCTTTCACGTGCTGAGACGTTGTTGCGTGGTGCAGCTTGGTAGCGGCTGGCGTTCTAATTCAATGGTCGATTGCTAATATTCGTTAGCTTGTTGCCAAAAAGCATTTGGCTTCGCAGAAATCTTTCTTTCGCTCTCCTGCACATTTCTTAGCGCTTACCGTCAAAGCTCTGCCGGCGATGTAGACACAGTGTACATAGTGGAGACTGGCGAAAACAAATGCTTCGCAGTTTTTGTTGCGGATTCCTCCCGTTTCAGAACTCTTAAGCCCAATTGGTCCCAAGAGCATGTTTCGGGCTCTGAGGTATACGTTCGATGAGCAGAAAGGTTTGATGAGTGCTGGCTATGGGAAGAAGGACCCATCTGCCCGTTTCGCTGGCATGAGGTGCGGCCTTTACTAGCCTTCTGTCCGGACGAGGGGTGGTTAAGACTCGGACACGATCTTGTACCGCTTCCCACGTTCGGAATAACTGGAGCACAGGAGAGCGCGGCGGTCATCCGAGCAGCACGACGCGCAGCAGAGAGTGCCCGTGAGGCTGTGGAGGGATCGCTCTCGTCGCCGACAAGCCGGTGAGTCTGAGCAGTTAGGTTTGCTCTTAACGCTTAGACCCTAGACATTCTCGAGACTATGGATCGCGTCCAGCCGCGTCTTGTGTGCGCTGGAGGCAGTGCTGGAGATGTACAAGAGGATTTGCGGCGATGATAAGCCAGAAGGCCAGGCATCGTAGCAGATGCTAGCGGTAGTCTCTTGTATCGCCGCTATACCACACAACAAAAAGCCTTGTCAGCGAGTCTCGAACGCGCAGCATGGGCTAGGGGGACGTCGTGCTTCCGTTAATTAGGTCGAAATGATCCTGCATCAAGTGATCCGATTCGGGATCGTGCACTTTCAAACTCTCATGTCAACTAGGTTCCCCGGAGCAATCCCTGCCAGGCAGGAGGCAAAAAGCCTTTGATGAGGTTTGGTAGTGCTAGAAGGCGTTACCGTCGAGAGCTCCAACCAACTGTCACAGGACCAGTGCGTCCTCCCTTCCAAACGAACAGCCTCGCCTGCAGAGTCTGAATTGCGAGATTCCAAAACCCAGCAAAAGACTTGCGACCTGATCAGCTAAGCGGGTGGCAAAAACCTAAATCCCGAGCCCTGCGAGACCTTGTCAGCAAAACGGGTGGGACAACAAAACCCTCAACTGAAACCAGCGCTTGGCTTTGAAAGGAGAGCCGGTGCCTGCACGAGCTCGACCCTCGGAGGATCGCGTGGTGGTTGCTCGCTGGAGGCTTGGGGCTCAGCGAGCGTCGTTACACCTCACAGAGTAGACAGCAAGAGTCAGAGCCCCTGTTGCCCGAGAATCTCGTGTTTCCGAAGCTCCATTCATGAGAAAGCAAAGTGCAGTTTGGTTGATAACCTGCAGGGCTTAGCGATGGCTGCACACTGAGCACAGCCTAAGCAGGGTGACGCGAGCCGGCTAAGATGTTTTGTCATTTGTGTGTTGGTCCTTTGTTTCGGAACTCCCTTGTGGGGAGGGGTTTCGTGCTATGATTACAGTACAGTATAAGTATAATATACCCCAAAACCCTTTTCTAATTATAGCGGCCCCTACTGTATCTGCGGAGCATTGCGGCGCTGGAGGCGAGACGAGGACTCGGCGGCCCAAGAGGCGGAGAAAGCTGCTGCGAAAGCCTGGCCTTCTGAGACACGAGCAGCAGAGCGAGCTCCGAAAGTCTCCAAGCTCCGCTCCTTCAGGAGAGTTTGGGCTTAAAAAGGGCTTCGCATCCGGGCGACCTGTAACATGCGACAAATGCTGTCCTAGGCCTGTGAGTTGAGTGATGACATCTTTACCCACACCGCATCTGCGGGTCGAGTGGGCGGTGCCAATTCCTGGAAGGGGCGGCTGAGTGTGCTCGTAAGCTTGAGCAGGACCGCGGTCAACAGCCTCAGGCCGCAAGCCGAGTCCAGGACAGGACAAAGGTATTTTCTAGGGTTATGCTCGTCACTCATGTCGTACTCTTACTGCCTTTGGTTGCTAGTAAAGTGGCGGTTGTGATGTTCGGCATCCTTGGAGGCAGTAGTAACTAACTTAGCAGCCTCATGGTGCTGGTCGTCGTCATGTTCATCACGTTCACGTTGGTTGATCATCGACATTTTTGCCGTCACGTCCGTTTCAGATATCATCAGTTGTTGCCTCTACTCGTGCACCAGATTAGCCTGACACAGCAGTTCGGAATCATGCGTTCGCAATGAATTCCTTGTTGTGGCTTTTATTGTTGGTCTTATCTTTGGAAATTACCAGGGCTGTGGGCCCGAATCAGGATTTTGTCATGCTGGTGAGGCTGCTTCTGATGTGGATCACGGCGGATCGCCGCAAGGATTGTTGACGTTATGCCGACGCCGATGGTCATGCTGCTGCTGTTGCTGATGCTGCAGAGGGGAGGATAGTGGAGGAGTAGTACACTGCGGATGTTGATGATGATGATGATGATGATCCTATCGGTGTCGCGTTGTTGATGGTGATGATGATAATGAGGACCAGCATCACCATGGTCATGAAGGTAGCGAGCGCTAATGGCGATGATGCGATTGCTTCAGAAATCTGCTTCCGATCAAAGTCCGCCGTGCAGGGAAGCTGCAGCGCCCGCTCACACGGCGGGCTACGCTGGCTATACGAAGTTCGGAGGAGTGGGGGACGGACCAGACTCCTGCCTGCAACGTATCGGGTGAAGAAGCGTGATCACTCGCTTTGCGGTTTCTTCCAGAGCTTTAGACTTCAGTCTAGAGCCTGCTTTTCCCAGGCCCACAGACCGACCAGGCCTGCTGCAATGATGACCGAACAGTGGCAAAGCAATGCCGATGGAAACTTTTGCGGCTGCATTTCGGAGTGCTTGTCTCCTCGACTGACTGCTGCCCTGAGGGGAGACCACGACTCTCATGAATATGCATATGCTGTTGGATCTGGCCTTGGGAAGGGGGCGAGCTCTGCCAAAGGGACAGCCACCAGTCAGCATGCGGATGTCGTACTCTCCACTAGAGTGACTAAAGTCGGAAGCAAAGCGATCTCTTTGTTAGCTCGGCGGCAAAGGCTGCGAAGGGGAAGTTGAACGTGGTGCACCCGATCGAAGAGGAAGAGCGTCCAGCCACAGCGAAGACTCCTGCTGGCAAAGGAGACGACGCTACCCAGCAGTCAGAGAAGCAGTGGATGCACTGCTTTCGGCAATGGACTAAGAATCCACAGTTCTTAGAAGCTTCAACGTTGAAGCGCACTACGAAGCAGCACCTTCGGATCTGCGGTTAAGAGTGCCCATCACGCAGCCAAGGCGCAGAAAGGAAAGCAAAGGCGTGCTAGAATCCGGAGTTTGTCAGCAAGGTGTGACACCACATTGTGACCCGTTGAAGGTCGAAAGATTCGAAAGGATCCGGCAAGCTCGTTTGGAAGTCGAAGACAGATAAGCCTGCGGCCGCGGCCCCTGGCCTTAAGCCTAAGGCCTGAGGCGTTCTGCTTTGGTATATGCGATGTGAGGTTCGCTTAGAGGCTCGTTTTGAAGGAAGACTCTGTAGTGACTGGATGCGTGCCGAAGGACAAGCGCAGGAGAGGAATTCTTGCAGGTCGGTTTTCCTTGTCTGGAATGGGGCATTGACCAGGAGACACTTCGCATGCACGAGGGTTCAGGACGCAAGTCCTCAAAGAAAGGGGGATGCAGAGGCAGAATAACAGGCTTGCTGACGCCCCGTCTGCTGAATCCGGCACGATCATGTCAACAAATGCATGTCCCGCTCGCCTTCGCTTTGAGCTGAGGATACAGACGCTCCGTCCGAGGAGCAAAAGAGGCCCAGCGCTGTTCCCATCCCTGTGAAACCGTCCTCCAGACGAGGAGGATCCCGGCCCGAAGCATGCCCTGCAGTGTATGAACACGAGAAGCTGGACAGACAAGTCAGCGATGTCGGGGTAGTGCGAGCGGTGCTAGGCTGCCTCCTTGCAGGCAAGAAGCCGCGCCGAAGGGGGACACCTCGAAGGCCAATTCATCCAAGGATGCGACCGACACGGCTCCTGCCCAGGATGCTACTAAGCACTCCAAAAATTCTGAAGAGTCAAAAGATCCAAAGCAGGAGAAACTGGATGCAAAGGACGCGAAGGAAACAAAAGAGGCAAAAGATCCGAAACAGGAGAAACCAGATGGAAAGGATGCGAAAGCTACAAAGGAGGCAAAAGATCCAAAACAGGAGAAACCAGATGGAAAGGATACGAAAGATACAAAGGAAGCAAAAGATCCAAAGGGTGGCAAAGATATGATTGAAGTGAAGCATGGAAAGGATGGAATCGGAATGGGGGCACAGGATGCAAAGGAGCCGAATAGTGCAAAGGAAGCGAAGGATCCCAAGCTTGACAGCACCAATGACGAGAAAGGAACGAGTGGCATCAAAATGGCTGAGCCGAAAGGGAAGGACGCTGAAGGCCCAAAGGCTGCCAAGGCAGGGTGAGTGGGCAAATTCAGCATTTTTGGGGTTAACCATATTGGAGGATGTTCGGTTCGAAGGTGTTCACTTTTTCCGGGGTTACAGTTTAATAACCGCAACGTAACCATTCAAGCTCACAGTCGCGGTTTAGAGGCTCTAAGAATTCGTGGCCCAAGGAGCTTCGACTTCAGGACCTTAGGGCCGTTTTTGCATGGATTGTCAGGGGTGTCAATAGTTCGAAGGCTTTTTGTTGAAGGTTGAGGGCTTCTGGAAACAGATTTTGGTGCTGCCGGATTTGAAGGTCTTTGCTAAGCCTTTACTGGTTGCTCGCTCCTCTGGATCTGCAGGGTGCAGGAGGGAAACACGCCCCACAGCACACGGTCATTGGACCTCCGCCTGCAACTAGAAGGCAAAAATGATGCAGGCACACTGAGACCACCTGAAATGCCGCTGCACCAGTGCACATGAGAGTTGTTCTAACCCCCGCATCTTTACCATAGACTAGCAGTGCCTTTCCGTGCTTTGGCTTTGATGCATGTGTAGGACCGCTGCTTGAGAACCGGCACCGCGCCAGCTCGCAAAAGGGGCGATTCTCAGTGTGGCTGATGCCCAAGCTGCTGAAGCCTGTCTCTTGACAAGACAATAAGTGGCAACAGGCAACAGGAGGCGCCAAAGGTTTGGGGACTGCGGGGGAACCAATTGGTGGGGTGGGAGGCAGGGGTGTGGGGCCAGCATTACGACCTTCGGTCTCACCAAGACTTAAATGGAAGCAAAAGAGAATCAAATCCTCAGCGACCAATGATGCAAGAAAAGAGCATCCCTCCACACCACCCCACCACGCACAAGAGCCTCCTTCTTCAGAACAGTACATGACAAGCCTTCGCAGACAAATTTCGTTGGCGTTCGTTTGCAATCGTCGTGGTAGAAATACAGCGCATCCCTTGCAAGCCTGGAGCAAGTTGAGCCCCCCACCGGCCTCGAGCCTGCTGTTGCCAGCTGGCATGGTGGCATGAAGCTGAACCCAGAAAATGCGAGCGCAAGTCGTGTGACGGCCGCTTCGGGAGTGTGCAGCTGTCTGCCACGCAGCGACCTGACCTCGAAAGCAGAATCCGCGATGTGACGTGTGAGCACTTGCACAGTCCGCAAGGAGCCAGCAGGCTGCCATTCAAGTATTGTCGCCAGATTCCACAACAGAAGTGTCTGACCGCGAATTGATGCCAATTAGAGATTATTGTTTGAACACTCACTCATTACAGAAGAGATGTTGGGCTTGAAATTTGTGTTTTCACTGGGCTTACCATTACCAAGGCTTCGGTGAGCTTCAGTGTGAGAATGTATGTTTTACTGTGGCTGCGCATGGGCGAAGCGCAAGAGGAATTGCGAGTCAAGGGTTGCAACCAATATGAAGAACCAAACCCTACATGTGTGCTCGGAATGATTTGGGTTGAAACATATCTCCCGAGCGTGGTTGCCAAAAAGGGTGGAACATGAGCAGAGCCGAAGTCACGCGTTGCCAACCCCCTGGCGCCCTGTCCGTGTTTTCTCGCCCGGAACAGCGCATGACGAAAGGTAGGGTTGGCAGCAAAACATTTGCAAAGACTCGCCACCCTAAAGAAGTAGATCCCTGAATGGGGGTTCCTATAAAGTACCCTTAGCAGTATAGGGCCCTAAATTAGCGGCTCTGCTTTCTTGGCTCTGCTCTGGCTCCCGCTCTGCTGACCCTGAGCAGGAGGCTGCCGCATCTTCCGAAGCGGGTACCAGGCAGGGATGGCAATGTGGACCCCAGAAGGGTCGAAGCAGCTGCAGCTGAAGAAGTTCCAGACATGCAGCCGAAAGCATTGAGACTTCGAAGTTTCTTTGACCAAGCTTGTCCCCGCAGTAGAACAGCTGGGTGTGACGATTGCTTGCCAAACGCAACGTGCTTTCCAGGCCTGCAGACTCCAAGCCAGGCCAAGCAGCAGCAGTGGCCCCTCCGCGCAGTCAGAGGAGTAGTGAGTAGCTACCACGCGCTGCGACAGTGAAACTGGGAATAGTAAGGAGCAGCTTTATTCGTTCGGCAGACTCGGAAAGCCCGTTGGTGTTACTTTGGTGTAGAGCGGAAGCTGCAGCATCGTGCAGCAAAACGAGCTCTGTATTTCGCACCGAGCACACCCGCTCGCACTGTGTGTAGTCTGCGCTCTAAACAATACGGAAGGCAAGCGTGCAAGACCCAGTTGCGAGAGCGTAGCTTATCATATCTGTTGACCTATGTACTTTACAGGGCCAATGTGCTTTGATTCAACCCAGCGGCTTACAAGTCTCGGAGCAATGGCAGTAGCTGCACTTCTTAGTGATGATGTTTGGCTCTCTATGAATGAGTCTCCCATCCACGCAAAACAATTCGGAATCAAAGAACCCTGCATGTTCCAGCAGACAAGAACTGAGCCTGAGGCGACAGCTCCAGCCGCAACGCAGCCCTCTACGGCTCCATCGGCCACACTTTCGTCATTGGCGGCCACTCCCACAGCACCTGTGACTCCACAGCCAGAAGCTCCAGAAGTTCCATCGCCGACGCTGACGGCCGCGGATGCTGCCATGCCAAGCGTCATCCCTTTCAGACAGAGTGCTCCGCCGCCGCCTGCGCCGTCTGCGAGCTGCATTTGGGAGGAAGCATTGTTGCACTTTCGATACACGTTGATACATCATGCCCTGTCCGCAGCCGAGGCCGCAAAAGGCAAAGACTGGCAAGAACAAGATCGTGATGCCTGGGCCACCTCCCGGCCTCGACAAAATGGAACAAAATGCGCTCAGGAATGTTTCCAGTAACTTCCGCTTTCTCATCACCCAAGGATTCACATGTTGTAGAAGTTTACAGAGTGTCAAGCTGTGCTCAGTTCATGGAAGTTTTCAAGTTTAGAGTTCTGCAGCCAGTGTTTGCTCAGAGATCAGCCTTAGAGATCTTCGCCGCCAGCCCGACCTCAAAGATGCAGCCAGAGGTCGACTCAGTGGAGACAAACTCTGACTCCATGAAGGCCTAATGTCAGCCGGAAGAAGCTTTCATAATCTCCCGTCGGCTTTTCGAATCTCTGATGTGAGTGTGTCCGCAGGAGCCGGAGAAGAACAAGAAGTGCCACCTGAAGACTCGCCTAGGATATCAGCCTCTCCACCGCGTCCTCATCGACAACTGGCAATCTGGGCTGACGGTAGCTATGGCCGCTGCCTAAGAGCATCAACTCGGACGGTGCAAGGTTGCGTACGTCATGTAGCCCTGTTTGTAAGGCTTGCAGAAAATGATCCGGGTTGCTTAAGTCGTGTGACGTTTTTGTGTCTGCACTTTTTGTTGTCGCTTGCATCGTAGCTTGATTTTCCTGTCTCAACTTGTTTTTGTCGGAGGTAGTCGTCGACTGGCACATGTTCACTGTATAGAATGTAACGATGCTCACGACCACTGACCGGTTCGTGTCTCCCACATAGCAATGAGCCGAATGTAATAGTTACGTACATTGCAGCAGTTGCCGCTTTCTGCTACAAGCTTTTTGACTTCCGAGGTTAGCGTCCCATTGTCGATTTCCTTGGGCATCGCATCCGTGTCGGGCGGTGATCCCGCAGCACCTTTGATGGGCGTGTCAACCGCGTTTTGGGGTGGATTGTGTGCGTCATTGTTCAGCTCTAGCGACTTCAACATTATCGGGCCTGCCGGAGCGTTGAGTGGAATGCTGAGCAGTGCGACCATCAAATTTGGAGGTGCAGGTGTTTTGCCTTACTTGTCCCTCCTGTCCTCAGCCATCATTTGCTTGATCTATCTGCTGGGCTTGCAGCGCTACTTGCTCCTCATGCCCACGGCTGTGTTTGAGGGTTTTACGCTCGCAGTGGCTTTCATCATTGGCCTCGGCCAGTTGGAGATGGCTTTGGACTTGAGGCCGGATGGCCACAAGTCAGAGCACTTCCACGAGAACGTCATTCGCTCCATTCAAGCTCTGCACGGCTACAGCCTGGTTGCTCGGACCCGAAAGTAAAGGGAATGATATCGGAACATAGGAGAAAAAAAGCAGGCTGAAGATCTCAAGGTTGGATCTCGAGTCTCTACCATGTGCAAGTCGTAGAGACTCTGAGGCTCCGGCGATTCTCTTCTTCGTCGTCACAGTCTTGCTTCTGACCCTCGTCAAGTACGTGGGCAAGATCCGAGGCAAGTCGATTCCGTGGACCGTGCTCCTTCCGTTGTTCACCATCCTCTTGGGCTACCTGTCGGACAGGGACATGCTCGGTGGCATTATTCTTCCTACACTGAAGGACAAGTACGGGACCTTGCAGGCACGGATTGTCGAGGTGCCATCCGTGCCACTTGCAGACTTTGCAGCGGGCGATGTCTTCGGCCTGATCCGCAACGCCTTTGGCATTGCCTTCGTGGCAATCTTGGAGACTCTAATTTCTGCCAAGATTGCGGAGCAGAGGATGAATTATCCCTTTGACAGCGGCCGTGAGACGTTCGGATTGATGGTGTGCCATGCTGTGTGTGGGGTCGTTGGGGCAATGCCTCCCACGGGTGTCTTTGTACGCACATCTTTGAATGTGCAGCTTGGAGCCACCCACAGGCTATCGCAAATGATCAATGCAATTGCTGTCTTCCTGATCTTTGTGGTCGCTATGCCTGTTTTCTCATACTTGCCGCAGGCGGCTGTTGCAGCGCTTCTTGTCTTTGCCTCGATTCGCATGGCGCCTGTCCACTACATCGCGAAACTGTGGCGCACGGACAAGAAGAGTTGTTTCCTGCTGGTTCTCACCACCCTGATATGCATTTTTGTGGATCCAGTCTATGGCCTCATCGTGGGTATGGTTGTGGCTCTGCTGAGAAATGCGGCCGAGACTGCACGAGCAGAATCACGGGTGACGCTGGACAAGGCTGAGATGCCGGTAAGCGAGACCGGAACACCCCTCTCGAGCGGTCAACATGGCACCCTTTCTCATTGGGCCACCTCCAGCTTCGATGATGCCGCAAACTTGGCAGTGAAACCTTCGCCGTTGAAACGCATCAAGCAGTTGATTGAGAGATTTGCCTGCGGCAAGCCCCCGATGGAGCACAGCAATGCTTTGCACAGGCACAAAACCTTCCGCGGTTTCAAGACGGTTCTCTACGAGCCAATGGGGTCTGTGACTTTCCTTTGTGCGAGCAAGCACCTCTCGCGCTTGCAGGCACTTCTTGAGAAGAAGCCGACGAGGCTCATCATTTCCTTGGAGCACGTCACCCGCATTGACATTGATGGTTCGGACAACCTCGCCAAGGCGGTCCAGGAGATCAAAGATGCAGAATGCGATGTCCGTTTAGTTGTGCCCGAACCTCGAGTGATCTTAAGATTTTGTCTACGTGTGTCTTCGGAGGAAGCAGATGCGGTGTACTTCTTAGTATTGCCAGTTGAAGTGCGGCCAAGGAATTGCTGCTGCAGGGTGTCATCCTCCAGAAAGCGGTCTGGGTCGACAAACTTCGGACTGAGGGCCGCATCTACAGCACGGTTGCGGATGCAAAGCTTGCGGGAGCAGATTGTGAAATCTGAGGCGGGAAGAACACCTGGCCTACGTACGCGTTCTTCCTGCCCGTACCTAGGGACCTACCTATTTAGTGTTTCAAACCAGCCACAAGCTCTGGGAGCCCGAATTCGGTTTTGAAGCGTATAGATGCCAGGTTAGCGCACAATGCTAGCCTGCCTATAAGATGGATGGGATCACGAGAGGCTGCGTACCAGCAGAAGCGGTGCCCAGCAGTGACAACTCTTTTGAATGGCTGTGCACCTCCTTTAAATCCCTCCCATGGTTCCAAGTTCCATTTGGCTTCGCAGCCCTTCACAGACAGAGAGCCGGATGCCCTTAGCTACGTGTATTCCTGAACAAAACACACACAAGTCTGAGAAAATCAGACTCTCTCTCTGCTCTTTATGCCATGATGCACCCCACAGCTGTGGGAATCTCAAGGCGCCGGTGCCAGTTCGTTAGGATCTGGATGTTGCCACACCTGGCGGTGGAAGAGTAATGTGAAGAACGCAGATCAGGATGCCCCGACAGCAGGAGTCATGAACGTGTTTAAAGTTGAAGAGAGGTGCTGCCTTTTCATGTTCGACAGCACTTACTGTAGGCATTGCTTGCTGTAGCTTTACTTGTGTATTGAATAGCTACCTGTCTGCCACACACCCTGCGTGTTTTCCTGATTGGCATCCGGCATCCGGCTGGTTGCTTCCAACCACCAGTTGCCCTTTGACAAGTATGTGGCGTGCATAGAATTCGTGCTCTGGTGGTTGTGCGAGCACTGCGGAAATATTCCTTGTTTCTTCCTGCAGTGGTTGTTGCAGTGACGAACATGTGGATACTTGCAGTATTCGGACATTTTTGAACATATTTTGGTGGCATGGCTCAGTCACTTTTGGGCATAGCTTTTCCGCGCTTGCAAAGGATTTGCAAGATGAGGCATGCTTGCAGTATGCTAGCAATGTAATTATGTATCAATAGTACAGCACAAGCCGGCAGTTTATTCAGGTAAAGCAGTGCGTCGCTGTTTCCTGCATTGCTGTCGTGCCATGGAGCCGCCTCTGAAACGCAGCAAAAGCGGGAACTTGTGTCACTCGACGCAGGCGCTTCGCTTTGGGATTTCTTGCCGTGTGTATACTTTATGACTTTAGAATTCTGCTCTTGGCTTTTCCTGAACCATGCAAGTACCGCCTCGATAAGAGAAGCCATGGAAGGTTCCGAAATTGGGTTCGCTGGATCCTGCTTCGGGCGGCAAGTTGGCAGAAGCTCGGCGGGCTCCGAGGAAGACTGAGACTGAAGCCACCACAGTGTCCTGCGACAAGGACTTCCGGCGCTCATGCAAAGATGGTGGCCTGGACTGCGACACGATTCATTATTCCGTGCCCAGACCTGCAGGCGCCGGCCCGTGGCCAGCCCGTGCATTCTCCAGGACCCTAGGAGGGATCCAAAATTCAAACCCCCACTGCCTTGCAAGAGGTACTGGTAGTTCATTCTAGTTGACCTGAAGCAAGAGATTATGTGCCGTTGCAGTCGAGAGGAAGGCGCGTTGCTAGCACGGTGATATATGATGCAGGGCTGCCACCCCCCTCCCCCTCCCCCCCCCCATGGTATCCCCCCCTTCCCTCCCCTGTGGTGTGAGGTCCCCCCGCCCCGCTGTGGTGTGGGCCCTGTGCTGCGGTGTCCCCCCCTCCCCTCCCCTGTGGTGTGGGGTCCCCCCGCCCCCCCCCTGTGGTGTGGGCCCTGTGGTGCGGTATCCGGTGGTGCTCTGCATGATCATCATCATGAACATGAACATGATGGTCCCCCTGCCCCCCCGTGGTGTGGTGTGGTGTGGTTCGGGGTTTGGGATGGTTTGGGTCTGCGTGGGTTGCCTCCCCCCCCCCTGTGGTGTGGTGTGGTTCGGGGTTTCGGTCTGCTTGGGGTGCTTTGTATAATCATCAGCATCACCATCATCATCATCATCATCATCATGAAAATGATGGTCCCCCTGCTCCCCCCCTGTGATGTGGCGTGGTTCGGGGTTTTGGTCTGCGTGGGGTGCCTCCCTCCCGTGTGGCGTGCTTCGGGGTTTGGGCCTGCTTGGGCTGTTTGGTATAATAATCATCATCACCATCATCACCATCATCAAGATCATGAACATGATCATCATGATCATCATCATGTCGTTCCTTTCTGTTTATTCATCTTGTGTCACACTGGCAATCTTCCTGACAATTGGGCACAGAGATCGGGCCTGTCAGGGACGCGGTCCTGTTCACAGTTGCCTGGGCTCGGACAGAAGGTGTCCACTGTCACAAGGATCGGGCGTGTTTGGAACGCGATCCTCGTGACAGTTACCGGTTTTGGTGCCTTCATGTGGGAGACGCGCACGGTGAGGGGCGCCATCCTCGTGACAGTTCCCGGGGGGGGGGGGGATACCATGGGGGGGGGGGGGGGGGGGTGGGGACCCGGGACCCGAGAGCATATATGCTGCAGGGCAGTGGTTTGGACCCACTGGATTCAGGGGCGCAAGAGTTGTGTAGAGGGCATCGTCGCTTGAGGGACGTGAGCTGCAGGGGACGGCGAAGTTGCAGGCAAAGTGACATGGTTTGGTGCCTTGGCTGCGAATTCAATTCTGAAGAATGGCTCCTGTGTTGTTTTGTCTTGATGAACAGCGCTTGCATCACTTCCCGGAGAGGTGACGTGCAATGGGTCATTGACGGGACTCCTGATCCCGAGAAGGTGCCGGACTCGTGGATTGCAGTTTAGGACATTCGCCGCTATGTCCTTTGCATGTTTCGATGAGCAAGCCGAGTCGTCGCTGTTACTGTTTGGAGAATGGCTCATTCGAAGCTGGCGCGAGGTGAAGCAGACAATCGATGTCTCCAAAATCCGGTATGCTTTTGAAGCTGGCAGGGCCTGGCTAGCACTGCTATAGCGATGGTGAAACACAGTCTCAGATTCGAAAGCGCTTGCTTGCTCGCGGGGTTCGGCTGAAGTTGCGCTCGGTTGAACGTGGCTCTCGGAAGGCACGACGGCACCACCAGGAGATGAGGCCGGCCATGGTGAAATGGTTGTGTCTCGACTCGCAGTGCGCGTGCAAAAGGTTGCTCCAGTGCATCAGTGCTTTATGGCTTATGGGATCCTTTTATTAAGGATCCTACTATATAGGGTACTATATTAGGACCTCTTTCTTTCGGAACCTCCCCTATCGCCCCAGTTACCATGTTGTTGCGTTTTCCGGATGCACTCGGCCTCCGAGGCTTTCAATGGCAATGCATACATTAGATCCACTCGCACTGGAAGCGCCTTGTTTAGACTCTACAGGGTCTTGGGTCTTGCGGTCTCGACTCTTCCTGTTCTAGTTCTTGTATCACTGCTGCCCAGGTTCCGAATTTTACAAGACAGTCTATGGCCCCTACATGCGCTGTGAAGCAGCTGGGCTGGTGGGCTACGTGGCGAAAGTGCAGCTGCTGTCTTCTACGGGAGCGTCGCGACGTCCCCCCCAGCATGGCCGAAATTTGCTGAGGACCTCCAAATGCCGCTCCAGATCTGGTCGCCACCACATTACTCGGAGGCGTGACACTGAGTGAGACGGGACGCGCTTTTTGAAGGTTTCATGCCTCGAATTGCCGTCGCATTCTGATGTTGCAGAGGTATGACCTGGACTTCTGCCATCAACGACATGTTCTCAACTGTGGTCGACTGAGAAAAGCCGCAGTCAACTTTTGCTTGCGGGTATGGGGGCGACAGAGTAAGTCGATCTGATGCCGCACCATCAGATCGAAAAACGCAGCGGAGCACCGGCGGCTGCTTTTGGCGGCATGGTCACCTTCGAAAAGTTGGTAGGCAGGTAACCCATGCCAGATGGTCCTCCGAGTAGGGCACTTGTGCTTTCATGTCTCCAGATGAGGCCGAGTCACCTTTCCCTCTGGTACTGTCTTCGTTCGTGTATTTGCTGCGCTACCGACCTGTTCTGAGCACAAGCCGTCCTAGCCGTAAAGGACTAGGAACTTGAAACGAGCTGTGGGCTTTGCAGGAACAGCAATCGCTCTTCCGTCCACGGAGAAAGAAAACATCTTCGAGGCTAAGGACAAGTACTACCCCTTCGCTCCCCATGCGCCTTTGGCTCGCAAGCCTTTTCTGGCTTTTAGTTCTGTCGCATGAACTCTACGGGTCATGCGCTTCTTGCTGCTTCTCTTTGCTGGCTTGGGCGTTTGCGCTTCTGCGGCTGCTGTTGTGCTTCCGGTCTGTTTACCTTGTTGTCGCCGCTGGTACTGTTGCTTCTGTTGCCATGCTGTGGTGTTGGAGGTCGTCGTCGTTGTCAAACGCTGTCCAGGGTTTACATCCTGCGAGCTACTTGGGAGGAGGATGTGCGCCCCAGCTTCTGCCAGCTACTATGGAAGCTTTCGGACAAGCTGACAAGCGTACCACTGGACCCATTGTGATGATTGCCCAGGTGGAGCACAATGTCAATTGCGTGGTTGTCGGCTTCGTGGCTGACATGCCTGCCGTCGAGAAGCAGGGCATCACCGGACTGGACAAGGCCCACGAAGAGTTTCGAGAAGAGCCTCGGAACCAGCGGCAAACGCCCCGAATTCCTGGTGTACATAGACTCTGCACGAACGCAGGTCTTGTACAAGGGAGCTTCTGGATCTGCTGGAGGAGGCGTGTTAGGGCGCGAGATCGCTGAGAGTGCTTTGCCATGGCTCGTTGCTGCCCCGTACAAGGAGCTGCGGACTTCCTCACCTTGCATGCCCATTTGGTGACGCTACGGCGCAGCTGCAAAGCAAAAACGCCCCAAGAGGTGCTACCTCAGGACTGGCATGTGTCCGGCTTTAGGCAGCTCTGAAGTCTGCTAACACAGTGTCAAAGGCATGTTGCCACACAGTAATGAAGGATGTGAAGGAGGTATACCACCTGGATTCATCCAGCATCGTGTCGAGTTTTAATCTGGAGACTTCTCAGCAGTCAGTCGGGGGAAGATCGTTTTGAAAAATGCCAGCTCAAGCTGCGTTGCCCGCTTGGAATCAGGAAGTATGGCTCATCAATGAAAGCATGCAAGAGCACTCCGTGATGTCGGAAGATTCGGTGTGTCCGCTGATTGCACCGCCTCCAAGCACATGCAACTGCGGCTCGTTTGCAAGTTGGAACTATGGCACCAAAACACATCAACTGCAACTGCGGTCATGGCTTGCGAGTGGTAAAGCAGCAAGAGCCAAGAGGCTACCTCGATCCCCGAAGTGAAGCATAACAAATCGACGTTGAATGAACAGCAGCAGTTGGCCTGCCGAGACTGTTTGAGTGTCCGCGTACTGCAATTTTTTTTTGGTTCGGTGTCAGTCGACAGTAGATGCAGCAGGTAGAACATGGTATACCCTTCGAATCTTCCTGGGAAAGGCTCAACCCAACGGCTGCAGACTCAGGCTCCGAATGGGTGGTCAACGCATTAGTGGCAACTCGTCCCAGCCAGTCGGGCCGTCTTTGCCTCGTACCGAACAAGAGGGACTGATTTAATCTGTGAGTGGCATTGTGTCATGTTCTGACCTCAGGATGCAGGTGTGACGCATGTCTTCGGTGGACATGGTGGTGCCCTTGTACCTCTAGTCAATGCGATCGTGAGCCATCCGCAGGTGCAGTGGGTCTGCACGCGAAACGAGGCAAACGCCTCACTCATGGCAGCTGCCTATGCCAAGCTTACGGGCAACTTGGGGGTGTGCGTTGCTACCTCAGGGCCAGGAGCCTCAAATCTGACGACGGGCCTGCTCGACGCCTTGCAAGATCAGTGCTCGATGATTGCAATTACGGGCCTCAAGCCGAGAGGTGGCATCGGTTACAGCGAGTTCCAAGACCTCCAACAGAGCCGTATGTTTGCAGCTGGTGGTCTGCCGATGAGTCTGGACGTCTCGAGCCCCGATGCCTTAGTACCGCTGCTCCGAGATGGCGTCGCGAAGGCACTGTCCCTCCGAACGGTTGTTCATCTGGGCTTGCCAGTGGACGTCCAGGCGGCAAAAAGTCCAGTGCCCCTAAAGCCTTTCTGTGCGGCAGATGTTAGGGATGACGTTGAGCTGTCAGAGACCCACTCCTACGTCATCAAGAACGTGGCTTCTGAGCTCCGCGCTGCTTCTGGGCGCGGAAGTGGCCGGGTTGTCATCGCCGTGGGCCATCGTGCTGTGGGTGCCGGGAAGGAGATTCTCCAGCTTGCTGAGCGCATTAATGCACCGGTGCTGACACGGCTTGATGCGAAAGGATGCGTCGACGAGTCTCACAACCTGGTCTTCGGCGTTATTGGTGTGCACGGCAAATCTGGACTTGAGCTCGCGACGAAAGTCATCGAGACTTCTCAGTTGGTAATTTCCATTGGTAATCACGACGATACACTATTGTTATGCAACAGGGCAGGCTTGCAAATTCGGCCTATGATTACGTTCGAGCCCGACGCCATGTGCTTGCGGATCAACGCGAGATACAGAGCGTTGTATGATGTCGTTGGAAATGTGAAGTTTACTCTCCGCCGACTGTTGACTGAGCTGGGGCCGCAGGAGAACGACCCTATTGCCAAGAATCCGAGTTTCATGGAGGGCTGGCACAGGCAGGTAGCCGGGGGGTTTGAAGCCAGAAACCATCGCCGGGGGGTTTGAAACCAGAAACCATCATAGGCATGCCCAAGACAAGCTAGACCGGACCTAGATTGGCCCTAGACGGCTTGCCGACCATTGTTGGAGCCCCCCAGGGAGTTGGCCTACAGTGGTATGGACATTGTGACGCCGCTGGACGCTGCCAACCTCCATATGGCACCTCCACCCCGTCATGCGAAGCTGGAGCTCCCCACGGATGCGAAGAAGTTATGGTGTCGAAGTCAGTGTTGGGAGAATCTTTCGGATGTTGTCTTAAGACCTGTAATGAGTGCTGCTAATCGGGGGGCACGTTTCTAACAGTACGTCGTACGGTTCGGGGGCGACCTTCTTTCAAGGGTTTGGCGGGACAAGTCTAGCTCCTTCGAAATCTTAAAACTATCCTTTTTGGCGGGGCGCCTGTTTTGCTTCATTTTTTTGCCCTTCCGGCGGAGCTCTCCTTCGGCTGCCTACTGCTCGAAAGAGATTAGAGATTTGACAAAGGGGCAAAGTTGAGAAGAATGATTCAAAGTTTGAGAACCAGGCGCAAACAAATTCCGAAAAACGACAGAGAAGTTGACAACGAGAAACATAGAGAAAGTGTTGAGAAAGAGAAGGAAACCCGTCGAAAGGAAGTAAAGATTCGTGAAACAGGAGCAAGCCGGTCGAACCGACCAATGGTTTTGGGCGGAACTTGGGGGGGCTTTCTCGTTTCGCCAAATACACCAAAATGCTCATTGCGGCGGCCATGGGCGACTGCACTCCGAGTACTCCTGCTTGGGAGACTTTGGTGTGAGCAAAACGCAGAAGTTGTTATTTGGGGGTTCCGCAGCTGACTCAACTCTTGCCCTTTGGTGACTGCCCTTCGCCTTCAACTTCCCTTTTCTCCGCGTGTCTCGGCCAATGCCTTGGTTTTCGACAATTGTCGCCCGTTGTCTCCGTTCATGCGGGCTCTTGAAATTATAGCTCTTGTTTGGCTTCAACTGTTCGAGGTTTTCGGCGCTGTATTCGAGATTCTAGATACCGTCGACATCCATGTCTCCGCCTTTGCAAACAGCCGAGGTCCAACATCCACAACGGCAAGTGGAAGCTCCACAAGAGAGAATCATCTCGGTTCTTGTGCACGAGCCCTGCCTCGCATGACTTGTCCCACCCGGACACGGTCATGAAGGAGTCGGGTTGGGATTCACGCTTCAGACGAAGTATCGGGAGATGAAGTGCAGACATCGCACTGTGACTATCTCTACTATAGTAGCGATGTGTGATAGTGTATGGGAGGAGATGTCTCGCCGCATGGAGGCCAACGACGTTCTCTGTGTGGATGTTGGTGATGTGACCCTGTGGGCCAGTTTGTCAGCTTGCCTAACCAAGGGGCAAAGGACCCTGTCCTCGGAGAGATTAGGGACCATGGGCTACGGCCTGTGCGCGGGCATTGTCGCTAGCCTCGTCCGAGCTGGTGACGGACGGGCTGTCGTCGTCATAGGTGACGGCGGTGTTCAGATGAGCATCAACGAGCTGGGCACTGCCCAGCATCTGTTTGCCAACTTGAACAAGGACCCCGGGATATGCGAGCTATGCTAGAAAGCTCGCAGGGAGGGCATGTTGTGCGACAGCTTTCGTCGCTTGCGGTATGTCCAGTGTAATCAGATCAATCGCTATGATCTTTGTTCAAACTCCGAGCAATGAGAAGTTCCAGAAAAGCGGCCCATAGCAGAAAGTCCGATTGTCAATCGGATACTGGCATTGACCAGCAGAAGGAATAGCCGCGGTACCTTCTGGCTTTGGCGAGAGCATGCTGTTGCTGTGGCGTAGCATGTGGCCGCCTTCGTCGTCGTCATCGTGGTGGGAGTGGTACTACTTCGAGGATCACGAGACATCGTATGTGGAGTTATGAATGACATAAAACAATTCAGTATCTGCTTCTAACCATACTAATATTTCTACTATTTCTACTTACGACGTGTCATGATCTTCCACGTAGTTGCAATAGTACCACCGGCGCCACCAAGCACTTATCATGGGAATAGCTTCGAGACATCAGTTCGAGCTGTCAAAGTCGTGTGGTGGTAAGCTGTAGTCAGACCAATACTGTTCGAACTAGTGGCTCTGCAGCAGTAACAGTAAACTAATGTTGCTGGTATAGCATAAGTAACCGCAAGTACCAGTTCCAATCGCGACAGCAGCAAAGAGTCAGACAATTGACAATGATACCAACATGATCACAGGCACAGGCTCCACATGCAGTAGTTGCTGGTGGGAGACCTACTGAAAAATGGGGCATCATCGACCCGGCGAGGACCACAGCCTCATTCTTGTCATCCTTGACAACGCAAAACTCGGCCGGGTCGCCTTCGGATTTGAAGGGGCCTCGGACCCAGCCGAAAGCGTGAGTTTGCACTATTGTTCAAGGACCTTGTCAGTTTGTGCCAAGATGTCGCTAGGGTTTGCGACAGTTACGCACATCTGCATCCTGTGCCAGCTCAGGCCCTGGGCTGTGATCTTGGCCCCTCACCCGACTTTGCAGCCATTAGCAAGGCGTATGGCGGCAACGGCATGAAGGCCGAAATGGGAGGGAGACCAGGGAGACCAGACTGCAGCTTCCTGTGCGGTCTTGTAGCATGCAGCCACAGCACCAGTGACCAAGACTGCAGCTCAAGGTGGCTTCTGCGGCGGATCTTGCAGGCAGGGCCGTGGGGCTCGGGTGAAGATGCGTCTTTAATCATGGGGTTGAGTTGGTCTATCCTTCATGGGCTGTGCAGCCCGGGCACTGCCACCAAACACTCGACCTGCACACATGCAGTGGAGTTCTTGTGTTCGAAAAAATGATGGAGAGAGTGCCGCTTTGCTGGCAACCTTATGAACTTCAGAACGGACTGGCAGCAAGTGGGCGCGCTGCACTGGTCTGAAATTATCCTTTCTTCCGAGCCAGCTGCGAGCTCGCATCGTCCCCGGGGTACCCAAGAGACTGAAGACCTGAAATTTGCATCCAGCCAAAGCTTGGTACATGTAGTACGCGAAGCACGTAAAACACCAGCAGGTGCCATGGATGAGGCTTTCAAGTCCAAGGGCATCTTCATCCTTCACGTCTGGGCCCGTACAAGTGCAGTGCGGGGTCCGAAGGGTTGTCAGATCCGTGCTGAGGTCCTCATAGATCCGCTACTGAAGGCTGACATGGCGACGTTCCAGGAGCTCACTTCCCCAGCTTCCGTCAGGGGGGACAAGCCTAGTGCCATCATGTCAAGGCTGTCGATGGTTGCCGCAGGACAAGTCGATCACAATGATGGACAGTGGCTGAGCCGGCCACATAAATTTAGATGCGGGTTCCCTGTTCGTTTCGTTAGATGTATCCAGGTCCAGTCAAGAAGCCGGACGTAGGTGGCACAGATTCGGCCACGGTGAGCTATGTAACAGGAAAGGGGCGTCGTTGTTTTTGTATCCCCTCTGTTCTGAGGAGGCGTGTACGACCTCTTGCCAGCTCGGTACGAATGATGGGATCCCCACTAGTCACTTCCTGTCCTAAACGTGTTTCGAAAGATGCAGAACCTTCAGCCATCAGCGGCCATCGTGGCACTAGCAGCCTATGAAGTGGTTTTGGCCACATCACTACCAGAAGAAGCATCGGACATCCCGCAAGCTTCAGGCTTCCGGTCTTGACTGCACAGGGCATTCGTACAGCAAAGTGGCACGTTCTTATTTTCCAAATGCAATGTGCCCTACTTTTCAATAAATAGTTTTGTCGGAAGCACATGGCAACCATGCACAGTGTTGGCGCATTCTAGAATTGCCCGTGCTTCGGGATGCAGCAAGCCCGGTACTCTCAAACCCTGCAACTTCCGTAATTGGTGGCTTCCTCGGCGCCCGAATGGTTGCATGCTTGGTAGCATGTGTTCTGCAGACGCTGCGTGCGTGTTCGCTTATCAGTTCTGTAAAGTCATCTTCGACTGTCGGATGGCAGATACAACAGTGCTCGAGCGACTGGCGCCGCTACAGATCTGGCGAATTTCACTACCCTAAACCCTTGATTCCAGAAGCCGACTGTCAGGACGATGAGTGCTTTGGCTTCTGGACAGAAGCCGTGGGATTCCACTCGTGTCAAGGAGCATCTAAGTCTCATAGTCTAGCTAGCCTGCTAGTCGCCAGTGCCGGCATTCCGCATACAACATACAGGAACAGCATGAGGTCGCCGGGGAAGCAAGGATAGCACAGGCGTTTGCATCACAAGATCGTGAGAACTGCCACCGAAAGCACAACTGCAACGGTATTACGAGTATTCAATGTTTGCATGACAACCTCAAACTTGCAGCAGAAATAATGGCCATCCTGCAACTGCAAGATAGTCGTGGTCCTTTCTTGAGACTTCAGCATGCATGTTCAGTTTTAAGCCGGTGTGTGATGGCCGAAGTTGCCTGCAGCAACCAGACGCAGTGTCCATCTGCAGCAGATTTTATCTTCGTGGGTGAACGCGGTCTCGAGCTTGCGCCCCCTGGCGATTCCTCGGATTACTCTGCCAGCCTGATTCTAGCTGGAGCAGACGCCCTGCGCGAAATAAGCTTTGACGACGACACGTTCAGTGCTCCTGTGGCCGATTGCGTGCTGGGAGTCTGCGCATGCTCCGACTCATGGAACCCACTTGCGGCCGCTGATTTCCAGATCGTGCTTCCGAGTCCCAAAAAACGGGGCAAAGGTGTCGTGCTAATGGCAGTGTCGCATTCGGAAGATGCTGAGGCCGCTGTCCGAAACATTTGGGAGAAGCTCGAAGAGAGCGAGCAGCTGGCCATGAAGAGATCTCACGCCTACCGGACGGTGCGCGCACGAGGAGGGGCTGTGGCAGCAATGGAGAAGAGCCACTACAACGTTGTGGCTTTCTTGAAGCTTGCAAGCAACGACTGCCTTCGAGCATCGACCGATGAAGCTTTGGTACAAGAAATCGGCCGGCTGGCCATGGAGTTAAGAGTGAAAGAGTGCGACAGTTGTCCAATCTGCTTGGAAGCGATTGCTGCGGAGGATGCCGTAATGAGGTGCAGCGGCGCAGGAGGAGGCTTACATCAGCTACACCATTATTTTCATGCAGAGTGCTTGCGTGAGTGGATGCTTGGCGGCAGCGGCAAGGAACGGGCCATGAGTCCGCCCGATTGTGTTTCCATGCTTCAGCATCATTCTGCTGCGCCGTTTGAAGGCCATGCGAGACCTCTAAATGAATCGTTGAACAGGAGCCCAAAACCATCACCATCCCTTAAGAATCAGCCCTGTCTAAGCCGTGAGCCCTAGTTTTTACAAGCCCCATACACTTCCCGCACCCTAAACCATAACCTGAGTTAGGAGCGCTTCAGACATCTTGTAAGGATCCGGACAGCCTCCAACCCGAAGTGCCCCATGTGTCGCAGCAACCTGCAGTTGAACGGTGCTCGCTTGGAGTGCTTCCTCGAAGGCCGGACCGTGGCCTCCGCCTGTCCAGAGAGCGAGAGAGCGAGAGTGTAGGCCCCCCAGAGCTGTTTTTTGAGACTCGCGAGATAGCTCGAGGCACGGCCACACTCTCCGACGACGAACGAACTTATCTCCAGGCATTGCTGGACGGCGCCAATGCTCGAGCCTTGGCCTGCAGACGGGATTCCACGAGAGCGGCCTGATACTCCGTTTGCCCGGATTAGGGCTTTCCTTGCGAGCCCTCTGTGTGTGTGTGTGTGTGTATGTATGGACAGCTTTGGCAGAAGACTAGCCCTGAAGGACAAGACTGGAGCGACATGAGCTTCATGGAGCGCACGGGCTATGCTGGAAGCCTTGCAGCATCTGCGTCCTTAGGATTCGCGCAGGTGAGCGGCTGAAACTTGCAGAAACTCATGCCCCCGGGCAAAAGGCGTATAAACCCTAAACGCAAAATGCATAAACCGAGTCTTAAGCCCTAAGCATCCGACGTAATTAACCCTTGTGAGATTCCGAAGCTTAAACCTGAAGTTCCCTGAAGGTTGTTTTCTTTCGAAGTGGCTGGACAAGCGGTGGCTTGGCCCCACGGCAAGACCTGCGTCTGGCCCAGCTAGCCGGAGCAGGACACCGAAAGCATGAATCCCCGAATGCCAGCTGCTAGTTGTCGGAGACCACGAACTGTTGCAAAATGTATTTGCCTTTGGAGTTGGGGTAGTTTGTGTCTTCCATGCCCGCCATGGGGGTCTTTTGGGCCGAAGCATTGGCAAGGAGCAGCAGTGGCTTTCCGCATCTGGCGTGGAAGATGACACACGTGATGCAGCCGGCCTCGAGTGCTCAAAGCATCTCATTTTTCGTGCATCCCCTCTGGGGAGCATTTTTGGGTGGGCAGCAAGGGCTGCTCACTCTGATGCTTCTCGTGGGTGGGCCGTTCTTATTTCTGGCCGGACTCAGTATGCAGCCGACAGGATGCATCTCAGCTGCGGGCATTGTGTACATATCATGCCTGTTGGACTCAGCACAGACAGCGGGTCCAAGCGGTTCAAAAAGCTTCCGAGCTTCGCCGTGCCAACTGAAGGTTTCGGCATGGGAGGCCCGCACTGGGCTAGGCGCAAGCCGGGAACACAGAAAGTGCCGCACGGAAGCAGATCGGAAGGTCGAAGGAGGGGGGGGTGTCGACGAAGGCCGAAACTACGAAGGATAAACCACATCTACTGAATCCATGGCTTTTCCGGTGCGAAGTTGGTCCAATCGGCCGAACCACGGAGCTTTCGTCATGCCTGGCCCAGCAACCTGCTGAGTTTGAGAAGAGTTTGTTCACATTGTCAGTCATGCCTGGCCCAGCAACCTGCTGAGTTTGAGAAGAGTTTGTTCACATTGTCACGCTTGTTCTTTGTTTGTTTTGACCTTTTGTACTGCTACTGGTGTTGTTGCCGAGGCAGTACTAGCACCATTGACACAATAGTTCTTGATCACTTCGAGGATTATGTCCGTCGTACGAAGTTTCGAGCAGCTGCCCCCACATAACGACACACTGTACCACACCAGGATATGTTGGAAAGCCCACAGTTGACTTTACAAGGCCAGGTGAGATCACGTTTTGGTGTGACAGAAGTAGTGTCGGGAGTCGGCCGCAGTGGCACTGCGGTTGCGCGGGCAGTCCGGCGCCATGGGCAGCTGCCTTGTGTAAGCTGTTTGGGTATCCAGATTCTGGAACAGCGGCTGGTGTAGTCCTCGACTTCTCCTCCGTTGTGCCATTGCAGCTGTCCCAATCGCCGACTGGGACAGCTAGCTCCGCGGGTGCCTGTGCGATTGCGACACCGGCAAACTGCCTCGAACTCAATCTTGACGTCTGCGTGGATTGGTTCTACGCAGAACGAAGAGCCCCGTACGAACCCAGCAAAAACATGCCCACCTGAGGGGCCTGAAGTCTGGGCTCCGCAAAGGGCCTTGAAACAACAAGAAACTCTGCTTCATGAACTGCGCCAGTCTTTGGTGGACCACTAGGGATGTGACAGGCAAGGGCATTTCCACGGTCACGGCGCTAGCCGGACATGGAGATGTCATTCTCGCATTGCCCAAACACCGCTTGCTGCATTACAGCAGCCCCGGTGTGGCTTTTTGCTTCCGGTGCACTCCATGCCTCGGCGAGTGACATTTTGTGCCGCAACCCAGCGTTTCTGACCGTGGCTTCCAAGCCACCAGAAGCCGGCCCAAAGCAGCGCATACATGTTCGCGGCTGCGGCGGTCCGAGAGCGCACCACTTGCCAAGACTTAGGTTTAAATTCGGCACATAAAAATGTAGATCGCACTTCGGAACACAGCTTCCACTGTTGGATATGACAATATTACCCTGGACACCGTTCAGGTTGTGCTGCCACCAATGAGACTTCAGAAGCCGCTTCGAGAGTTGTTCGGCCAGGCGATGCCGTGATCAGATGTGGGCAACGGAAGACAGCAACACCTCGCACGCCAGAGTTGCTGATGTTTTGCAGGAACTGTTGAAGTAGCACTGTATAAAATTGCGAATGTCTAGGACTGACGAGTTCGCAGGTTTCAATCAAAACGTGGCGTAACTAAACACGTCAAGCGGCGTAAACAAGCGTAACGGGGCGAACAAAAGCGTGAGAAACCTAGGGACGAAGCCGGCGCGGCGGCAGCTAGGAAGCAAGAGCTTCTTATAGTGGCTAATAGTAAGCTAGTAAGCCAATATTTATGGCCGCCTTGGCTTTCGAGGTAGAGACCAGCTGAGGCCGCCTAAGGCCCTGAGGCAATCCCTAAGGCAGACTTCTCCTTGAGGGAGTTGCTGTAGCGTCTTTGCCGGCCATAATGAAACGTCACGAGCAGAGTTTGCTGTAAACTCGTAGTGTCCAGAGATCATCTCACTCGCACACGATGCTTTTTGCAGAATTTCATGGGGAAGCCCGACCCCGGCCTATTGCAGAAAAGCGTCGCATCCTACAGGCAGGCGGAGGCACGGGCGCTCTTGCAAAGTTGATTTGACATGGGTTTCCTCAGTTTGCCCTCACTCCAAGAAGTGGGGGGAGGCACAACACTGTCTGTTCCGGCTTGGTGACACCACCAAGCGCAGTGAATGACGACGGCCGACTGATCTAATCCCCCGGTCCAATCACGTTCAGCCCCGGGCCATCCGAGCTGCGCCGACATCGGACAGTCGTAGCGGTTGCTGCATCCAATTTCCGGCGGAAAGTTTCCTTGCAGCTACTGGACGCCACTGTTCCTAGTCATGTCAGATACGACCTGCGTCCAGAGCGCGCAATAGCGCACAATCGCTGCAGTCGTTTTAGGAGACGGTGTGGTGATGACGCGGTAGTGACGCTGTTGACGGCCCGCACGGACCCCAAAAGCAGCGGCTGTCTCCGCGGGTTTGCGTCACAGGGAGTGGGAGAAAGAGTTCCCAGAATTCGAGGTGGATCCGAGGCTCGGGCTTTGCTCCGAGAGCCGATGTGTGAGGGATTCGCAGAGAACGGTTTAGGCGACGTCCCTTCTGTCGACACGTCCACACTACTGGAGGTGTGCGGTTTCGGAGCGGTGACCGGTGACCTGCTGTGAGAAGTAGCTGAAGCCGGGCCCGAGTCTGTGAGCTTCAGTGAGGCCTCGCCAATTCGGCAAGCAGTCTCTGTGCAGAAGCCATGCACCTCGGCTTCCGTCTCGGAGACGCGGCTTTGGGCCTGGGATCCCGAGGCGATAACACGTGCACGTCCGATGGCGATTTTCTGAGGCGCATCCGCCGCAAGCCTTGAGCCCAAGAATTCCCTGCAAAGTTGGTCACGGTTCTTGGAGGACCCTGAGGACCTTCCGCTATGTGCCATGGAGAATTGAGGGAGGCCATCTTCGCGATGCAAGTCCGAAAGGAGCGAAGCTCGCGAGCAAGGGGCTGACGTGCACCTTCGCCGATTGCCCTTTGCTAAAAACGACTACGGGAATGGCTTCACCGACCGACTGAACTCACAGTGAAAAGCACCACCTTGCACACGGCACTGCAAAGAGGTGCCTCACTGAAGTCAAGCTGCAGAGGTGAGAGAAGGCATCGTGTTTGCATGACCTTTCTGTGTCGATTCAGGGTGAGGTTTCAGCCGGTTGGCGTCCGTGGGGCAAGAGTGGATTCGCGCCTTTGTAATTACCCAAGTTCTCCTGTCTTCAGCTTTGACGAGGCAATCCTGGAGGAGGCTTGGTACAAACGGCAGGTGCAAATCGATGAGCGTCACGTCTCCACCCGGCTCTACCCGTTGCACGCAGCCTTGGACATGCAACATAGTAGCAAGACGTAGAATCAACGAAAGGGATGATACGCCGCTAGGCTCAACCTTGAGCTCAAGCTGAAGGTTTGTCGCCTGGATCACGTCTACATGGTAAGTCGAATGCCGATGAGCATACTCGCAGTTCGACTTTGCTCGGTCCCGGCTTGTTCTTTTTCTGCCGAAAGTGACGTCTTAGGCAGGGCCGTGTTGTTTTCCGAACTATTACGTGCTCCGAGTGCTCAGGGTCTGGCGATTCTTCGTCGAGGATGGCCGGTGCAAAGCATGCCGCAGGAGAAACCGAAGACCTCGTAGCAACAGCCTTACGGTGCTGATGCCGACCTTCGGAGCATCCTCAGCTTTGCCTTTAAGGGTTCGTACCTTTACGGGTTTCCCTTAAGGGCTTCTGAAAGAGTTCTGGTCCGGTCTCCGGCTTGAAGAGCTCGCGGCATGGCTATTTACGAAAAGGGACGACGCCTGGCAACGTCCTGGCTTTGCTGGAAGAACCCTGGCCCGGCAACTTGCACTCTTGGCTTGGCCGACAGGCTCCCGAAGTGAAGAAGATTCTGAAGAGTTACTTGGAGGATCTTTGGACTTAGTAAGTAGGGTTATAAGTAAGGTAACTATAACTATATCTACTTCTGGATTCAGAGTGCACCTTTCGTCTTCGCAGCTGCCAGCCTCCTGTGCGGTGGGCTGGTGAGCTGTGATGACATGTGGTGCTGCCCAGCACAGCCTTTATCCGGCGCAACCGCTTCAGATATAACTTCACTGCTCCCCGCCATCCTTTGTACCCGACCGTGGTTCAAAGGGTTTCCGCAGGCCAGTGCGTCATGCATTCTGCTGCGGTCCTCGCGGATCCTGCACAAAGTCGCAAGCCAATGCGTGATTTTGGTCAAGGACCGATCTTGATCTCCGTGTCAATCCTGGCCCGGTTCCTCTTCGAGCATGAGGCCGGTTTGCTCCAGACCGGCTGCTGGTCGCACAAGCGCGTCCCCTTCCCGAGCAACGGTCACATTCTTGGTGTGCCTTCGGTCATGATATGGTCGTGTCCAACCCTTCGGGGGGAAGTTCTGCATACGAGCTGTTTAGCAGTGCCTGTGAAGGTCGCTGGCCATGGAACATCCTGGAAATGCTTGTAAGTAATGGCTCTGGGTGGCAGATGGTGTGTATCGCCATGCACAGGGGCCTGCTTCTTGCCATGCCCGATGGGAGGCTTTGTCAGCTGGGTGGTCTTGGTGGAAAAGGCCTGTTGCGCAGCAGTATTTCCTCCTGGCTTCAAGAGTTGAGTACGAGTTTTGCGCGACGAAGCATACCTGAGCAGCGCTAGTGAAGATAGTTTGCCGTTTCACTGTCTGACGGCATCTTTACACCGGCCGTCTCAATATGCTTGCGTGCAGTCGACGGAGACAGACTGGACATGCCGAAGCCGGTCGATTCATGCTTTTCGAGTTGTGGAAGAGGGCACGGACTGCGAATTCGTCATGGCTGCATTGGCATGATGACCTGCTGGCCAAGGGATACGGTGTCCGGGTGCGCAGCGGGCGTAG